AACAACAACAACAACAACAACAACTTGTGTCTGTTACAGCAGCATTAGACAACTAAGACACAAACTTTTCCGGAGTTGTGACCAGTGGAGTGACCTTAATGTGCAATGGTAACTAGGAGGCCTATCTGTCAAGAAAATGTACTCAACCTACTGACTCAGGAACACTTCAGAGAGGAAATTCCATTTCAGGTGTGACCAAAAGGATGGGCCAGAAAGTTAAATAGTAGCTGAGAACTGGAAAGCGTGTGCTAGTCAGCAGGAACATCTGGCTTGGTATTAGGGTGGGATTAACTACTCACAAGGACCTTGAAGTTATGGAAGTAGAGACATGAGTCTGAAAGCGTCCTCTAAGCCCAGAAAGGGAAATTGTAACTAACTGAAACAGAGGGTGAATGAGATTTGAGTTCAGGTGGAGCTATCCGCAGATTGTCAAGAGGATAGGATCACATGGATATGTATAGGTCCGCTGAAGTGTTGTAGGATAAAGCGCTGGACTGCAAGGTTGATTTGAACCACAAGGTCAGAGATTCAAACTCACCAGGTGCTCCTTGGAAGCCCTATTTGGGTTGCAGTATAAGCCATGTTGTTGTTGTTAAGTGCTGGGGAGTTGGTTCCAATTCATAATGACCCTGTATAGGGTTGCCGAGGAGCAGTTGGTGAGCTTGAATCACCAACCTTGCTGTTCAAACTAACCTTATGAAGTCCAGTGCATTAACCCACAGCATCACACCAAGACTCCCAATAGTGGAAGTTATTACAACTATCCTGGTGAAAGATGCTGGTGGTTGGAGTGAGGCAGATGCAGATAAAGAAGGATTTGATATTCAGGTGAGAGAAGAGATGCTAATAGAAGAATATGGGAAATGAGGAACTGAGTGAGTCAGGGTTGGTATGCCTGTCTCTGCCTTTGGTAGAGAGTTAGGAAGGAGATTTGAGGGCTGAAGATGACTTCAGGTCACCCATGTTGACAACAAAACAGCCTCAATGATGTCATTGGACCTCCCAGGAGGTCATTGGACAAGGATATGGAGATGTTGTTGGATTTAGGCACCCAAAGGCACAAAGGAAGAAAGAATTGGTATAAATAATAATGGAGAAACAACTTATTATCAATGAGAGCCTGAGGCCTTTCCTACCTGTGGGCTTGGTGGTGACGGTATGTGTCAGAGAGGATGCTGGGAAGGAGGTGGAGGTCACACCTGCTGGAGAAGAAACACCAGGAGTGTGAAATCCAAGGTGAGTTAGCTTTAGGGAAATGGGCTTGGGGAATGAGAGCAGAAATGTACAGTTCTCCCTATGACCTTCTTAGCCTGGAACAGGACATTGATTTAAAAGGATGGGCAACTCAGTCCACATTCTATGCATATCCTCTGCACCTTTTCCTTCTTGATGGTAAGTAGCAGGGGAAGGGTTGGCAGGTACAGCTGCTCCTATTATTCAGGAGCTGTAGGGTGGTCCCCTGCCCACAGGGATGCTGGAGTCTTGTAATACTCACTGTTGATGGTGGTGGCTGAGGCCCAGTGGGTGTAACCTGCAGATAGTGAAGAAGAGGGAGGGAGACATTCAATGAGGAGGCAACGTGGCCACAGAGAGATGGTGGTTGGGCCATCACAGCTATGATTCCTAACAAGGAGGACAGAGCTCCCACCTAGCAGGGATCAAAGGACACACACTCCATTCCTGCCCAGGAGCAACAGAAGTCTTGCTCAAGCTCCTCCCAAAGAAAAGTCCTAGAGGGAAGCCAGAACTCAGGGCAGATCCTGTCCTAGCAAGACAAGGCTACCAAGGGCTTGGCTATGCCCTCCCCAGGAAGGCCTCTCACCATTGACACAGAGACTGTCCTTGTCCAGGATGTAGGGACCCAGTTGGGTGATCCCGTGGGTCAACTTGCTCAGCTCCCAGTAAAGCAACTCTCTGTCAATATGGGTGCCCTCAGGGTCAGAACGCTGGGTGCAGACAGCATTCACTCTGGTGGCTTCTCCATCCTTCTTGGGTCTGGGGAGGGAGAATGGGCATTATAACAAATGATGTCCCCAGAGAGAGGCCATGAAATTCTTCAGAGGTGGGGTAGGGGGGACTGAAGGAAATGAGATGGGTGGAGAGCTGAACTTGGGATTGCAACAAGTGGAGAAGGCACATTTATCTGGAGAGAATTCCTGGGGATAGTATTTAATGTCCTCCTTGGCCAGAGGAAAGGGTGAGGGAGTTCAGAGGGTGACCAGGGAGGGGCCAGTCCTGCTGATGGGATCTCCAGAGTCTGGGGGGGTTGGAATGGGGACCAGAAGATGCTTTGGTTCTCCAGCAAGTGCCTCCTATATTCTTCCTCTGCTGAGGACGTCATGTCAGGCCAGGAAGAAAGGAAACCAAACCAGTGTCTTGGACTTGGGCTTGGCAGCACTTGTGGTAGCTCTGACGGCTCTATTATCAAGACGTCTCACCTGAGCGAGGTAAGTGTGCAGCCAGAGTAGAGGGGGCCAACATTGGTCTGATTGAACAAGGGTCCCAGCTGGTGAGCAAAGAGAAGGAGGTGAGTAAGGGGGCATAAGAGATTGAGTAACTATCTGGACAGGTATGAGGTGGGGTCGCCAGTTGGTCACTGTGGGGCTCTCACCAGGCGCTGCAGGATCCTTTCAGTGACGTTGAACTTGGAGGATCCTGGGCGTCCCATGTCATCCGTGTAGCGCAGGTTGGTGATGGTGAAGTTGAGGGTGAAGGGAAGCAATACAGGTTCAGCAGCTACATTTGGGGGAGGAAGAGGAAGATGTCCATTTACATCATAGTAATGGCCCAGATTATCTGGAACCTAGGTCAGATGCTCTAGAAGTCTTCTAACTACAGTCATCTGCTGCAGGAGCCCAACGTGGGAGCATTCTGGAATTGACAAATGACAGACACTGACTTACTCATTTAAAGAGTAATGACTACAAACAATCAATTTGTGATAAAGGAAACAAGGGTAAATTGCTACAATTTGATGAACCTGACCTATACTCTGAGCGGTAGTTACTGTAAATACCAACAGAGAGGGAAGGAGTCTTCACATCAAGTATCAATGCTATCCACTCTGTATACAGGGTAGATAGGGA